TGCTGGTGCCATTTGAGCAGATCATGAATGGGTTTCTGACTGATGAGGAGAAGGCTTGTTTTCACGATCCTAAAGTTTGAAATTGATGCCATTTTTGTTGATCCATCCCTTGATGAAGGCAGAATGAACCTGGGACAATGGGAGATGGGTAAAAAAAAAAGCGTAATATAAGTCACAAACTTAGACACTCACTGGCAGTGCACCTGTGGGCATTTAGGAGGGATTTACAGCTTGGATTTGCCTTAATTTTAGTTTGATTAAGATTTGTTTATTTCTAAATTTGCACTTAGGCTGTCTTGTGAATTAAGGATATTTAGTTTGTTAGAGTATTGTCTATTAGTCTTCGTTCACTCATTTTAATTAAACATATTAATTCTTGCTTTTGTATTGGTCAAAGAATGTTAATTTCATTTGTCAAGAGTTTGAACAAAATTGATGCAAGTGAAGTATATAATCAATAGTTTGATATTTGGTTCTTAGCACTTTTAAATTGGTTGTTTTGGCCTTGCTTTCGTCACTGTTCTTAAATAGAGCTCAGTATAGTAATCCCCTGCAAGTATAGTTATGTTGCCCTTTGCCCCCAAGATTAAAGGTCGAGCATTATTGGTCGGCTCCCTTTTAGCATACAAATTAAAGCATATACTCCTACTTTTATTCTTTTATTTTTTTGTCTTGCTTTCTACAATCTCCTATCATTTAACATGTTTAGAATAATTCTTTTAAGGGTAAATTACATTTTACCCCCTGTGGTTTACCCTTTTTTTACATAACCCCCCTATGGTTTCAAAAGCTATACATAACCCCCTCATGGTTTGGATTAAAGTGTAAAAGTAACGGAAATAGTCACTCGTAACGGAAATAGTTGGGGGTAGGAAAAGTACGAAAAGGGGTGACATGGATTAAAAGAATACAAAAGAAGGGTAAAGTTAATTCTAGAAATTGCACAAAAAATATGTAGTTGAAAAAGCAGCCACAATTATATTGAGTGATCTACTAATAACTACACTGTGTCAGCTTATAGTGTCGCCACAAATTACAATTAGTTCACTGATAACATGTCGAGGACTTGCTTTGACATACGATTAGTAATTCTATAATTTTTTAAATCTTGGATATAACACAATTTACATTAAGTGAACGTACAACATATGCACTGCATGGACTAATTTTGATGCTAGAATGAAGTTCAAACATATTTTGGGTTTTTTTTTGCCATCTGCACTTAATTGCTGAGTAGCATGAGATTTGTTTGTGGCTACAATGTATGCAGGCATAAGATGCAAAAGTGTTGCATCTTATATTCACTCTGGCTCCTCCTAACACTTTTGCAAGTTTATTCATTTCCATCCTAACTTGGGTACTCTAGACCTCTTAACTTTAGTGAGGTGTACATGATTATTTGTCACCTTTAAAACTTTATGACCTTTATATGAAAAAGTGATAGACTTCTCTGGAAAAAGTAGAATTTACAAGTAAAATTACCCATGAAAACAAAACTATACCGGGGTAGTGTGGCAATAAAAAAAAAAACCATAAGGGAAACACATTAATTTAGCTTACTAAATATTATTTTCATCAAGACATTGGAGTACACTAAAACAATTCAACTAGCTTCGTTACGAAAAGTGATCTCCATCATTTTTTTAATCCATACTACGGTCTTTTTTTTTTTCTCCAGATAACTTTTGAAACTATATGAGGCCTATTTGAAAAAGTGCTAGATTAATCAAGGAGATAAAGTAAAATTTACCAATAAAAATACCTAATAAAAGTCCCGTTTGATCCTTATTCAATACACATGATAACACCATTGAAAATGGTTTCTTTTGGAATTTTCAAAGATAACATGAAAGAATTATCCGAAAGATCTTATTTATAAAATTCAAATTAAAAGAACAATTTTATGGGCATCAAAGGAGACCGTGTTGCATGGAATATTGAACACCCTGCGGAGTATGGCCATAACAGAGTTATACGAGTTTACCATTATTTCTCAACATTATTTTAACTGTCTTTATTTTGCAGTAAAGTTAGGTAGAATCCACTTTTTCCCCGTAAGATGCTAGCATAAAACACTCGAGACTGCAAATGATTTCTATTATCCAAATTACGTTTTGCGCCAATATTAACCGCCTCACACAACCCATACTAGTATAAAATCCACCTCTTCGTTCCCTTCGATTCCATCAGCTTTTGTTTGTTCATTTTTTTCCTTTCACTATAAAAAATTATATACATACCGTCGCAATAATTCATCATAGAGACTTTAAAGTACAATTGCTGAACCATTTTTTTTTTCACTTCCAAGATGTTCTAGTCTTTTCATTTTTTCTGTGGATATCAACAGTTCAGGAATCCCCTGTAGTCAGTAGAATTGGTGATTGATCTTCAAGAAGACCTTGAAGAATTTGAGCAGAAAAGAGAGGAACAACAGAGACAGAGATGGATGCAAGGGGTAGAAAGAGAAAAGTGAATGATCCTGAAGCTGGCGACAGAATTCTTGATCCCAATGCACCAGCACCACCAGCACCGGTACAAATCCCTCCGAACTTCAAAAATCACCATCACAAACTTGGGAGATTCAGAGCCAGTGTTATTGGCGGAATTGACTTCATCGGACATTGCGGACAGAATGAATGATGACTATTTCTTGATATCAATTCAAGAAATCAATAAGCACCCAATCTTGACAGAAGCCCAGAGGAATTCTCTTGAAAACGGAGATGCGGAAGTGGGTGCAATTTGTATCCAACCAGCAATGGCTAAATCCGAGATAAGCATCTCAAAACATGACAATTTCAACTATGCATTGAGTGGTTGGAAAGACCTTGTCGAGACTTACAGGCTGATTCTGACTACAGCAACCCAGATGCAATTATGGTCTTTCAAGAAGATACAGCTTGGATTTATAATGCTACTTGAAGATGACAGTCAAGAGGTTGGATTGAATATGTGAATCGATAGTCTTGATCTTGGTATCATTTTGCACTAATTAATGGAATCCTAGCTAGCTACTTCTTGTTGATTAGTATTCCTAATTTTTGCACTATTTTTTTTTCCAACAGATTCAACATCAGACGAAGGCTCAAGAAGTTCTTCCCGATGGCATCAAGCATCGTATCAGTTCCATTGGAGGTTCAGAACCACTTTTTGTGGTGGAAAAGAAATTGTTCAAGACTGATACGAAGCATCTATTTTCAATACAGTTGAGAGGAAGGAAGAACGAACTCTTGAAGGAAGAAGAACAGGCACCTTTCAGAGTCCTGTACAGCAGAGCAACGATTGAGGCGGTTTTGATTGGATCATCAGCCGATGAAGAATTTAGGGTCAATTTGAAGCATCGGGGCCTTATGTATTCCCTACATGGTGGTGACTGGAGCAAATTTGTGAAGAAACACAGGCTCAAAGTGGGAAGAAAGTGCGCTTGTGGACGTTTAGGTCTGCAAATGAAAGGGCTGGTTTAGACATTGGAAACTATCGTTCAGAGCCTGGATTTGCATGGGTTACATTTCAATGAGAGGAAGCAACAACGAATTCGTATATCCATGTTGTTTTAGGCCTCAAGATTGCTGTTTTCATCTTTCAAATTTGGCATTGTTGGTGGGATTTCTTGACTGTATTCAGTAATCATTCTGATAAAAAAAATCAGTTTCTGAAAATTTTAGGCATTCTTGTAGACACAGCTTTCAATCCTTAGGCGTTTCAGGGTTTCTCAGGTTGTATTCATGTTCATCAATTGGGCAAGTTTGTAAGATCTGCTGCGCTCTGTTCTTGTAGACACAGCTTCCTGACTGTAAGAATCTTCTTCCAAGAGTTACTCGCATTAATGAACTTCAATTTTTTAACTGTTGTGTTAGACCTTTTTTTTTTCGTCTTTCTTTTAATATCCACTTCTATGAGCAGTTTCATTTGTATTTTTGTTTTAATGTATGATGAAATTGAAAATAATAATTATACTGAGGATGCAAAAATTTTTGAATCGGCTAAAATGTCAAACTGTGAGTCCTTTTTCCTCCCAATAGTGCAATTCTTTCTTTTAATCAATAGTGCAAATTACTACATTCCGCGTGACCAATTATAGTGGCAAATTCGTACACACAGAACAACAACAATATGTATACCTCCACATGACACATGTACATGTACATGATTAATAGTGGCAAATTAGTCCATATTTTTATCGTATTATTATGTGAGAGTATGGTTGTATAATAGTGGATATAAATTTATATCATTTGCAAGGATAAATGAGTCCATTCATATTATATTATCTTTTTAGTATAGAATTATATAATAATGAGAGTATAAATTTGTATCATTTTTAAGATAAATTGATCTAAAATTTTATCATCACATTTTTTAGTCATCCCTGACTAATACCATCAATCATGGATCCAATCCTTCAATGAACCAAATGAAACTTTAATAGCCGGATGGCTAAGTGGCACTAAAAGTGGGTTGAAGAAACGTGTATAACATCCAACTTTTCTCCAAGTTCTATTCGTAATCGGACAGGATTTCCCGACATTCGACAACACATCCACCCAACTTTCAGATCCGATTAGGATATGGAAATTCGCCAATCCAATACCAATAACCATGTATATATATAGTTGATATTTAGGCATATTGCCAAGCCTTTAACCTTAAAATTGCCCTACAACTTAACTCATCATCCCAGCTGCCGAACCTCTGCAAACTAAGTCAAACTCATCCAATGGCAAACTGGTCGATCTCCAACATGATATGTTGGGATTGATAGCCCAACACCTTGACAAGATTGAAGATTATGTGGCTTTTGGCGCAGTTTGCAAGTCATGGCGGGCAGCCGCCACTGAGAAAAATTTCAAGGGCCTGCGACTATGGCAACAGATTCCCTGCCTTATGCTTTCTGCGAAGGATGATTTCAATCGGGAGTTCTACAGTTTGATGGAGAAACAAGTCGTTGCTAAGGTGAGCTTGCCTCAACTTAAAGGCAAGAAGTGTTATGAATCTCTAGGATGGTTGTTGACTATAGGACAACAAGGGAGATGAGCCTGTTGAATCCCTTCTCTGGTGTTGAAATTGAGTTACCAAATCAAAATACTTTTCCTGAATATGATTTATATGAGATGGATCCTGATATCTTTGTACGTAGGATGGTTTTGTCATCGAGGCCAAGTCGCGAGTCCCCAGAGGACGATGACTTTGTGGTGATGATCATCTGTGGAGGGGTTGGATTCTTGGCTTTCTGGAGGCCAAAGGATCTTAGGTGGAATAGGATCGAGACCAGAAACTCTTCCTATGCGGATGTCATATATACCAATGGCCAGTTCTACGCAATTGATCACATGGGCAATGTTGTGGTTTGTGACGTTTTCGAGGCAAACCCTACTGATCAGGCTAGAATAATTGCTCGGTTTAGCCCTGAATTATGGGACAAAAAAGAGTTATACTTAGTAAAATCTTCATCTACAGATGATGAACCTTTTCTGGTTGTCACACGAGACAACATCCCCAATTATGAGGACGAACAAGGCTTTGAATTGGATAAACCGATCTATGGCACAACCGAATTCCAGGTGTTTGAATTGGTTTCTACAGCAGGAGGAGAAAAAGAGATTACTTCCCGTTGGAAAGAAATCAAGAATTTGGGAAGCAGATCAATTTTTCTTGGCCATAGTTCTTCAATGTGCCTGCAAAACAACAAATTGGCCCCCGGAATCAAACCCGGTCATATATATTTCACGGACGATGCATGGGCAGCATATGTTGAAATTCCTGAAGGCGGCGGCAAGGACATCGGACTCTACAACTTGGAAAAAGGAGTAACTGCGCCCTTGTATGATGCCCCTTTGCGGCTTAGCCGAACCTGCCCATCTCTTTGGATTACACCAAATTTTTAACATTTGTATCATTACCCTGTGATCTGTTCATGTGAATCTCGAAGGATGTATTTTCTCCCTCGTAGATTTACTGCTCTCCATATCTTTCCTAGTTCAGGACCTTGTGCAGAAGTTCTACTGATAACTGTTTGTTTTTCGAATATAAAAACGCTTTTTATTGCTCTTGTTGGGAATTAATATTATTCAGCACATGTTAATTCTACACTTTATGAATTACCTTGTAATAATCATTGCCATTAATAGTCCAGAATTTAACATTGGACCTTGAATTTGGAGTTTTCTACTTCATTACTACTTTGGGTCTTTGGTTGCAGTTATGTCGATCATTGGTTGTAGTCCGTTAAACATTGCTATCCGGGAATATTGGAATGGTCCGCAGCAGAGATATTCATCTTTTAGTCCTTGAGGACGAGGACTTTGTAAGGGAGGGCAGTTGATACAATGGGAATTCATCATTTTGCGTATTAATTTCTCGGAAAAACTCTTGTAATATCCGGATTCCAAATTGAATTTCAGTTCAGTATAGGAAGAGTTAGTTGCTGGATTAATTGGAGCGATGTCAGCAGGGAATTAGTCTGCTAATCTGGCAGGAGTTAGCAGAAAAGGAGTAGAGAAAGGGTCAGTTGTGAATTCTGTATCTTGATTCATTCATCTTCTGTAACTCTTCATTCTTCATCAATACAATTCCTTCTGATTCTCGAATTGTGTTCTTCATTCATCACGATTCCTGAACCTTGAGTGCGAGACATTCACTGTTCTCTGCATCACACTAGGCTACCACATCATTTTTTATTTGAGAACCTGATAGAGACTCAAAAAACTTGGAGTGACTGCGAAGAAGAGCGGTAGAGAGATAAGAGTAATCAAGATAGAAATGCAAGCAATGGGGCTAGGGTTAAGCTTTTACTTGCGGATAGAGAAAATGATCCAATTGGGAGTTTGAGAGAGGTTGGAGTTTTGAAAATTAAAGTGAAAAATGAGAAATCTTTCCACTACATGATTGAGAGAACATTTGAATATTAAAGAACCATTTGGTTCAATTTTCATAATCACTATCACTATGGTATGATAAATATGAGAATAACAATCGACTTGATAAAGATCTATGGAGTGTTTGGTAACTTTATAGCAATGGATTTTAGTAATAGAAAACAATAGATAAGTAAAAATGCCACTCATTAATAATTAATCAGGAAGCTCATAAAAAGGGTTTATGAAACCCGTCAACTGATTCCTTTCCTTATACTATATAAAAATGAGTTGTGGTTTTAAATTTCAACCGCATGAATAGGGGCATTTTGGGAATGTGAAATGATGTGTAGTTTTTTTTAAAACTTTTGGCAGCATATTTTTGGGTATGTTTACGAAAATGTCCTCATTTTTGTACATTTAAAACTTTTATTTATGGAGATATTTAGGTATGTCTAAAATATGGAATTATTTTACAATCTTTTGCCTCGGGTAAAGCTCAATAAGTTTATGTGTTGGTATAATTACTGCAATGGTATTATAAACACATTTAATTGAATTATGGTTTTTGTTGTGCAATTAATTCCTTATAATATAACCTCCACTACCTCGGACCTAATCAATAAACCTCAACTAATCAAAATTCTTTCTTTTGGTCTCCCATAACCTACAATCAATTGAATTAATTATTGTCTAAGTAACAACTATTTCTAAATATTCACACATTCATCCATTTGCATCTTGATCTTCCATTTTTCCCCAACATTTACGAATATAAGATCTTTCTTCTTCCTAATATTAAATTGTGCCAGTTATGTATACCACTCTATAAAACTTTTTTTTTTTTCTATCACTTTATAAAACTAAGATTAGTTTCATGCCTTTCCAATTTTGTTCTAAAATCATATATTTCTTTGTGTTTCTTACAAGGGTGAAAAAGCCAATTGGGAAGAGAGATGTAAAGGTAAAATTAATGCAAATTATTATGAAACTTATGTTGGATCATCATCATCAGAATCACGGCCAACTTGTTCCAATTCTTCCTCTTTATTTTTGATTTAATTGTATGAAAGTTGTGAACCTTATAAATTAGAATTTTGCGAATCTAACTATTCGCTTTAGTTTAGTATAATCTTACAAAGAGGTATTTTTGTTCCGCCAAAGTTTCATTTGCTTGCTTTCACAAAACTCTATGTATGATTGTTTTCCACTAGCATAATGTCATTATTCATATGGAATTTTTGAAACATATAGTGAATGTTTGATCATCATTGCAGGGTTAGTAGTGAAAATACCACATTTGCAAACAAATATTGAGAAATATCATTAACCACTTTCTACTTATGGCTTCCAACTCCAATTCATGTGTGCAATTTCTTCTCATTTTGGCTTCATGATGGGTTTGTTCTCCCAAACAAACTCTTCTCACATGAGTGTGTTTTTCTATTGTATTTCACCATTATGATTGAGATGTACTATCAAAGAAGAAACAAATTTTCACATTGTCCTATAGTGTGTATCTTTCAAGGAAGTGTGAAGGGCATTCTCTTTATGGTTAAATTGTGACAATGGGTCACTTATTCCTTTCAAGAATGCTTTATGAAATAGACACCTTGAGCTCCCAAAGAAGTTATATTCATGTTTGTTTGTCCAATGCAACAAATTTGGTGCCCATATTATTGATTGCTTTAGGAGACGCAAAAGCGCAAAAATTATCCTCAATAAGTTCTACAAGTCAGCTCTTAACTTCAATTTATTAGTTCTCAATGGATTTCCATCAATATGAACCTATAAATTTATTTTCTTCTAAAAATCCTGCTTTTGGATCATGTTATGTTTTGTTTTCCTATTGATCAGAACAATTATAAATTCTATGCTCCAAGCCACATCATGCTTGACGGATTGCTTGATGAGACCAAAAATATATTAGGCATCAACTTGTTTGGATCTTGGATTCTATGTGCACAAAAACTTAGGGACTTCCTCAATCATAGTTAAGATGGATTGTCTGATACTTCCAAATTATTTGTGTGATACTTTTAAGCTTTCCATAATATATTTACAAGGTTGACTCTTTCTTTTCGAGTGTCAGGTTTGTCAAAATTGATGTGGATGAGATAAAACTAACTAAGAATAAAGCTAAGTGTTAAACTTTTCTAATCTTGTAATGAGCTATAGTATAAGGATGAGAATTATCTATTTGACATTTAAAAAATTTTTTGTTGCTCTCATTTGTTATGTTGATGTTGAATAATAAAAAGTAATATATTATAAATTCACCTTTGGATGTTTTCTTTTTATGTTATTCAATTAGCCTTTTCTGACATTTCCTTCTATGTTCTTGATCAACAAATGTAGAAGAAATACTATGTGCATTTAAAAATTAACTTTATTTTTGTGTAGGATGTGAAAGGATTTGTTTATGGGTAATTCTACTTCAACTGATATGAGACTTACTTTATATACATTTTTTTTAATAACTTATATCTGCAATACTTTCTGCTTTCTCAATTTTATTGTATTTTTCTTAAGAATTATGTAAAAAATTTTAAATAGAAGCACCCAACACCTGCGCGTTGCGCGGATTTTCATCCTCTAGTATGTTTGATATAAAACAAATACTCCTTCCTTCCCAATGAAAGTGTCATATTTTCCTTTTTTGTCTGTCCCAAAATTAATGTCACTTACCATAATTGGCAATAAAAACTTTCTCCCATTTCCATCTCATGCCCTTAAATATACCAGATTCTTTTAAGCTTTTGATGGGCCCCAAAAAATTACAAGAATTGCACTTGATACACGTGAGTTCCACAGCAAATGCAAACAATGGTCGTGCAAGGAACTTTCCCAAAAACGGCTGAGACTTTCTTGAGGCACGGGTCCCACAAATCTTGTCACCACTCCAATATCTTTCTGCTGGTCAATAAGTGAGTACTCCATAGAAACCGAACATGGGTATTGCTGAAAGTTACACCAAAATCATTTGAAATCTTGACACTGTTGAAAATAAGCACAACACCCGAAGTGCGACAATTATTTCGAGACGGAGGGAGTATCATGTATGGGTATGGTTAAAATTGAAATCCATTCCTTGTCTTCAAATCCACTTACCAAATACATCCTATGTCTAGGTTCTAATCTAACTTTAGTTCTAGTATCTTTCAAAACTTGTCATTAGTTGCACAAGTTCAAGGTCAATCCAAGTGAAATGTGAAAATTCGAAATCAATCATGCTCGTTTTAAACTTCCTAAAGCAAGAGTAAAATATTAGTTACCTCCCTGTTTTCACCATGCTTTTTCCATATTAGTCAATTTATTCGCATAAGCCATCTATATTTTTATGACAATGAACGTGGAAGAAAGCACGTCCATTTTGTGACGACCCCACCTTCCCCTAAGGCGAACCAAAGGGTTCGGCGGACCGCCTGTCCAACTCTCGCCAGGACTACTAAGCTAATCACACCCAGATTGGAACGTTCCGAATGATATAGCAGCGCTCAAACACTTCGATGACCGTGGAAAACAAACGAAGAATAAAAAGCGAAACGAAAAAAAAAGAAAAGAAAAAAAATGCACGGAAATAGTGACTACCACGTCACTATCCGGCCGGATTCAAGGCAGTGGCAACCAAAATTTTTTTCAAACTCCTACAATCAATCCGGCCAGATATCCGGGCAAGATCTGGCCGGATATACGGCCGGATTGTGCTGGACAGTTCCCACCAAAAATTTTCCCCTATCCGTTCAAAGGTCGCTCTTGCCCGAATCCACAGCGGAAACCGAAAACACATATTCTGAACCAAAACACCATATAGACATGATGAAATACATCCATATATATATACATTAGAAAGTTTTACAAATCAAAAAGAACATTTGCTCAAGATACATTTAAGGTTTTCCAACTACCGAGGAGCTATACAAAGGAATATCTATACTAGCTCAACTCATTCTTCAAAACATCATAGTTCCAAAAGGTTTGTTCCCTGTAAGGAAAACAATACAACGGAGTGAGCTTTCGCCCAATAAGGTACCTTCACAACATGTATTTGAAGTCACATAGGCAT